GCTCCGTCAGCGCTCCGTCAGCGCTCCGCCCCGCTGCGCTCCAGACCGCCTGCGTAAAGCAAAGCCTACAGCCTCCGCTGTGGCTCCCGTCCGCTCCGCTCTGAGTTCCTTGGAGATGATTAAATTCAAAGCAGCAAAACATGCGGAAATGATCCAGGGTTTCCGCGGATCATTAAAAATAATTACAATTCATAATTAATTTTTTTTCCATTAATTTCATTAATTTTTATGGGATTTCGGTGTAACAATCAACATATACCTAACCGAAAACCGTGACCACGAAACCGTGAACCGAACCGGATTTTGTGAACCGTTCCACCCCTACATAGATTTACATAGTAATTTAATTTACTTAGAATAAATATTGTTAGTACTACCGATGATGTGATTAACAAATCCACAACAATAATTATTGCTTAGATGTTTGTAGTGCCAAAAATTCTTAACAAAGCCTAGAAAGAGGTGTAAAAATATAATAACATTCGTTATTTCAGTAAAGGTACAGATACCTGTGTTAAAAAACAAACAAAAAACAACCCTGGTAAAAATAAAGTACCAATTGAACTTCATGGAGCATATTCACCTTATTGTATATGCTTATACAAAAAATACAGAAAAACAATGTTTATGATAAAATAAGGTAATAAACACCAAGCCTCCATCCTGATAATGTTTACAGTTTTTTTTTTGTCTAAATAGAATACCTGCACCGGCCACAATGAATAAACATAGACAGATGTTTAATAATTTGCAGGCAGTTACGTTGAATTAATGCAGGTATTTAAAAGAGCTTTATCGTTCTGCAATGCTTCGCAGTTATAGTATGTAGTGCCTTGCAGATTACAAGCCACATCTTATGGTCAGCATCTACTACAGCGGTAAAGCAACAGCTCAGCGTGGTTGTGAGTTGTTGTGGCTGATTTGGGAGGCATATATGTTTCAGGAACTGAAGGTTTGGTTGTGGGGAGGTTTATTGTGCAGGCATGGCTACTGCTAGGGGTAGTAGGGGGTCTCTGAGTGTGACTTCTGGTGTCTAAGTTTGTGGTCTTTGGAAGTCTGCACCAACAGACACGGGTTACTAGTGTGGCAGCTGTGTTGCATTGGTTTGCGTCTTGGGTAAGCTCGGGGCCTTGGGTTCCTGGCTGTGTGCTTAAGCAGGATCCCCAGGGAGTGGTGGGCTTAATTCTGGGCTGGTATGCTGCCTAGTTTGTGGAGTAGTGCTTGCTCTGGTGCCTAATATGCTAGGAGGTCTGTCGGCATCTTACATACTACAGGTGCTTTGCCACCCAGGGCAGGCACACTGCCAATAAAAGGGGGAGGGATGGGGGGACGGCTTCTCAACCTGATTGTCCAAGTATTATAGGTTTTAGAAGCTGGCTGAATGCAGGAGTATGCCTAGATTGCCTATGGTGGGGAGGGGGTGTTAGCAGCCTGAGTTCTCATTACTCCGTGTTGGGCTTTTTTCCCTTACCGATCTGGGTTGGGATGCGTCCCTAAAGGAGTAGGCTTCTGCTTTTCTATGGGTCCCTATGGTGTCTTGTACAGTCTCCCTCTCAGAAAATGCTCATGGTTCTTAGGGTCCCCTTTAAAAAGGAGACTTGTGCATCCAAGCTATTACTCTAAGATTTTGGAGTGACCATCCTCTGTCCCTTTGCATTTAGGACTCTGTGTCAACTGCTGACATTGCTTTTTAGGCAAGATTTTAGATGATTGTGCTTTGTTTTTTTGTTGTTGTTCTTTTATCATATCTTTACCTTTTATAAAGCTTCTGTTGTCTTTGTTATGAAGCAGTAGGGCTGGGCGATAATTCAATAACGATATATATCGATTGATAGACGTGTGGCACAATAGAAAAAAAGAGGGTCGA